AGCAATTTCATTCCAGCAGTCATCTGATGCGGCGAGATCTTTAGCACCTTCAGAGATCCATGCAGTAAACAGCAGGTTAGTCAATAAACATCAACCCCAACAGAGCATTCCATCTTATGCTAAACAGCCTGCTCGTTCAAAGCCTAGATCTAAATCTAGTAATAATTATCAAAAATGTAATCGATGCAAGGGTCCCCATGCATCTCATCGGTGCAAGTTCAAGTCTGCAACTTGTTATAAGTGCAGTAAGCAAGGTCACATTGCTAAGGCCTGCTTTGCAAAGTCTTCGTCTGTTGCTAAATCTAGCCAGTCAAGACAGTACCGCAACCAAAGGCAGCACTATGTTAACTCTCACCAAGACTACCTAACCCAACCAATGAACCACTCTACCTGTGAAAATGCTCAAACTGATTCGCAGCCGGATTTCAACCTGTTCTCTGTGAAATCAATAAGTCATGCTCCCATCAATGTACAAGTTAATATCAACGGTAAGAGCATCAGCTTCCAACTTGACACTGGAGCATCTCTAACAGTCATAACAAAGAAAGATTTTGACGCTGTCACAGGAGGATCAGTGCCTCTACAGCCATGTCACAAGTGTCTAATGTGACAATGTTCCGGTAATAGGAGAGTGTATGGTTCATGTAAGTTATAATGGTCAAAGTGTTAAACTTCCTCTTCTTGTGGTTGAAGGAAATGGACCACCATTACTAGGTAGGAACTGGTTAAGTGATCTTAAGTTAAATTGGGAGAGTATTTGTTCATTGAAGAATGTAAGAGAATCTAGTCTTACTTCAATAGATAAAGTAATATCTGAAAATAAAAGTGTTTTTGGCAATTCAGGTTTACTAAATGATAGAACAGTGAAGATAAGCATTAAAGACACAATTCCAAGATACTGCAAAGCTAGAGTTCCACCTTATGCAATGAGGAATAAAATTGAAAATGAGCTAAGTAGATTGGAATCTAATGGCATCATAAAGAAGGTAGACTATTCCGATTGGGCAACGCCCATTGTGCCAGTGTTAAAGAAGGATGGTTCTATAAGAATTTGTGGAGATTATAAAACTACACTGAATAAACAAATAGAGCTAAATAGGTACCCTATACCTAACATTGAGGAAATTTCTTTGAATTTGGCAGGAGGAGACAAATTCACTGAATTAGACTTTAGTCATGCTTACACTCAACTAGAACTGCATCCAGATTCAAAAGTCTATACGACAATAAACACACATAAAGGACTCTACCAATATGAAAGACTATGTTTTGGCATATCATCTAGCCCTGGAATTTTCCAAGCTGTCATGGACAGTATTTTTAAGGATATTCCAAATGTTTGTGTGTACTTTGACAATGTGTACATAACTGGTAAGAATGACACTGAACATCTTAAAACACTTGATAAAGTATTGAAAATTGTTGGTGAAAAAGGTTTAAAGATAAACAAAGATAAATGTCAATTCATGCTGACAGAAATTAGTTTTCTTGGTTATATATTAAGCAAACAAGGCATCAGACCTCAACCTGAGAAAACAAAAGCCATTAAAGAAGCACCCAAACCTGAAAATACCCAACAACTAAGAGCTTTTTTGGGCTTGATAAATTACTATGCAAAATTCATAGGGAATCTGTCTGGTAAACTATCACCACTGTACAAGCTGCTACAGAAAAATGCAACTTGGCACTGGGGTAAACAACAAGAAGCTGCTTTTAATACAGCAAAAGAGGCTTTGTCTTCTGACACCTTACTAACTCACTATGACCCAGGGAAAAGACTTATATTGACATGTGATGCTTCACCAGATGGTGTAGGAGCAGTCTTGTCCCACATGGATGAGAAGGGTGACAGACCCATTGCTTTTGCCAGTAGATCTTTGAACCAGGCTGAGAAAAATTATTCTCAGTTAGATAGGGAAGGCTTAGGCATCATTTTTGGTGTTAAGAAATTTCATAAGTTTCTGTTTGGTAGGAAGTTCACCATCTTTACAGATCATAAACCATTGCTAGGTTTATTTGGAGAAAACAAAACCCTACCTGAGCATGCCTCACCAAGGATTCAAAGATGGGCTATCACACTAACTGCATACAATTATGAATTGAAATAAAAACCTGGATCTGAGAATAGTGTAGATAGTCTTAGTAGATTACCTTTAGAAAACCAAGGCCTGAGCTATGTACCAGAAGATGTATTTGTTCTGTTCGCTATCATGGATAACTCCAATATAAATGTGAGTGATATTAAAAGAGAATACATTAGTAAGAAGGAATGTGATCATCAAACAACTTTGCTAACATCATTAGCACTTACAGAAACTAAAAGGGTAACATCAAAAAAAAAAAAAAAAAAAAAAATAATTTTTGCCATTTAATACTTTCAGATGCCAATTCAAAAATAGTTCCATTAAATCATGACAGAACACCCATTGAAAGAGAATTTGGTGTTAATAAGAATGTGTATCTAAGAAATTATGGGAGAAAGGAAAAATGGATACCAGGTCAAATTGTTCAATGTACAGGACCTGTGTCTTATAAAGTAAAAACAAATGATGGACTTATTGTCCGTAGACATGCAGACCAGTTAAAAATAACTTGTGCAGATAATAAGTGTGAATCTGTCAATCCCACCAAATCTGAACAGTTCACACCAACTCAGTTTGTTCCACAACCAAGTTCTGTTGATATGAGTGAACCAAGTTGTCTGGAGTCAGAAAATGTAAATTCTGGAGTTAATGATTTAAATCCTAGACCTCCTGAGATAGAGAATCCAAATGGTCAGAATATTGAGTCACCAAATCAAAAGCTACTGAGAAGGTCAAACAGGACAATCAAAGTTCCAAATAAGTTAGACCTATGATTTTAAAGGTCAAAAGGACTTTGACATCATTGTTTTGTATCTTGATTATGTTGTAGCATATTGTGCATTGTTTGTAAGGATGTAATCTACCATAGTGTTCATATTACAATATAATTGGTGATTTTAGGATACTATCAATTGTTCTATTGAGAGATGTGTTATTGTGTTCTAAGGGTAAAGGGATGTAATAGATTGAAATAATTGTAAGGTCAAGGGAACTCACTCTTCTGTATTAGTATTATATTTATATTGTTATCATGAGTGATGTCCCTTGTGGATTGTACTTCCTTCCTCTCTCTAGTTATCACCATGTAGTTAGACCCAATAAACGTTTTATACACAACCACATGCTTCTATCGTCAATCCATTATACACAACAGATGCCTTTATGATGATTATTCACAGCTGGAATATCTGTGAGAGTAGAAATTCTACTAGTTTTTTGCTATTGTCCTGGTTGGTAGGAGAATTGCAATCTGTGATGACAGTTTACACTAGAGGCACCTAATGATTATTATAATTTTAGTACATAAATCACAAAAGTTTTCCTTTTCATTTGATATATTTTAATATGGGACTTAGGCAATCATATTTTTTTTCACTAGAAAAATAAAACAAGATAAAATTGCAACAGTTCAGCTTACTTCAATTAATAATTTTTAATCGGTGGTTTAATTCATGTACTCAGTGTTCAATATTTCTACTTTTATTATACTATTTGTTTACCTACCAAATTCTGATAAGACTATACAAAAAAATGATACAATATTTACCATTGTACTTATTTTATTTCATAGTACTTGGTTTTACTTTCAACTGTAATGTTAAACCTACAAAACATAAAACCCCACAAAACAATAACAAGAACAATAGCATTTTACTACAGTATAGTATAATACTCAAAGGTGGTGATATTATCTATATTTAGTTTGCACTTTAAAATGAATAGTTCTAATTATTTTTTTGGGATCAGATTCAATGTGTTTATCACAATCAAAGCAGTCTCCCACCATTAATGTACTAATTAATATTTTAATTATATAGGCCTAGCTATCTTAATTAAAAGAAGCTTATGTTACTCAAAAACAACAATGACTGTCCTTTTATTTGCAACTGGATGTATCACACAGATACTCTATTTAAATACTAATCTGTGTTAATGTGCATGTCGGCTGTTTCCTTGTTCTGTTTTTTTTTTAATTATTAAAATTTAATTAGAAAATCCGCACAATAATTTGAAGAAAATTAAATTGCAGCTCAAATGGAAAAATCTGATTTCCTCAAAAAAATCAGAAAAGTCAAATGCCTGAAAATTCCCAGTTATTATGAAACTGACCAACTAAGGACCTCAGCATTTTCTAAACAAAACTGTTAAAGTTACATACATGGTAGTGCTCTAGCCACTTGAATACACAAGGTTGTAAATCAGTTGATTGCAGTGTTCTAGTCTATAAAAATTGTTGGTATCTTTGTTCCTGTGTCTTATTCCTGTCTCCATGTTGAGAGAACCTGAAGAAATTGTATTAAAATAAAGATTGTCTACAAAGGTCTACCCTTTTCATGGGGCAAGTGCAGTAGAGATCACCTGTTTCTGTGACCTCAGCAAATGAAGGGATAGTGTGGTCAGCACTATGCCCAGCCGCCTTTACTTTCCCTAACGTGAGTTAGGTACCTATCAGAGCTGGGTGGACTCATAGAAGTTCTGCTGACTTGAACCCAGATTTCAACTTGAGACTTTGGGTTATACAGTCTTGCTCTCTGCAGCTAAGCCAAACCATCACCTTACATAATTTACTTTAAATTAAATGTTTGCACCCCACTTCTCATTGGGAAGTACATTGCAGTACAGTTGGTGCTTGTTTAGTGTATTCTTGATAAGTTTAAAATAGTTCATATTGACTATGCAAAACTGTGAGTGTAAGCTTAAATTCACAATGATAAATAAACAAACGATATATAAAATATAACGATATACAAATAATACAGTGTATGTGAGTAGCAGAACATTAGATAACTAACCTGATAGTCTCAAGTTCTAATAATGGGCTCTAGTAACTTGTTGGGAAAATAAAAGTGGCTGAGCATTGTATTAAACTTGGCTACACTTGGGAAAATAAAAGTGGCTGAGCATTGTATTAAACTTGGCTACACTATCCCTTCCTATGCCAAAGTCAGAGAAACTCATAATCTCTCCATCTGTCCCATGGGCTTGAAAGGAAGCCTAACATGTACAAATAAAAAAAATTAACAAAATACAATCGCAACAGTTCAGCTGTACATTATAGTTTTTAATTTATCATTCAGCGTTACATTTTTTACTGTTAAAATGCAATTAGTTTACCTACCAAATTCTGTAAAATAAATTTCAACTTTAATTAAATCAGATTAAAAATGTGTTCATATTTACAATCATACCTGGTTTGTTTCAACCTATCACAGCACTTGGTTTTATTCTGTACTGTAAACATTAACCCATAAGCACAAAACACCTGCAAAACAATGACAAGATCAGTTTACTTTATTATACTACAGTATAAATGGTACTTAAAAGTGATACTAATATCTTATTTAGTTTACACTCTTAAATGGAATACTTAAAATTTAGAATGTAGCATAGTCCCCCACCCCACAGAAGTCACATAAAGGGATCTGAACGATTAACTGTTAAAGGACCTACTGTAAGCATATTCTAAACAAAACTGTTAAAGTAACATACATGGTAGTACTCTAGCCACTTGAATACAGAGGGTTGTAAATCAGTTGATTGCAGTGTTCAAGTATTGTTGGTTTCTTTGTCCCTGTGTCTGCCTTATTCCTGTCTCCATGTTGAGAGAACCTGAAGATTAAAGTTTTGAAAGTAGTAAAAATTTTAATAAAGTGCTTACGTCTAAGGCCCAATGGCAGTGCTAGATCGGGTGTCACCCAAGTAACGATGTTTATCTTTAGTCTGTTAATAATACAGTTGGAACTTGGATGTAGCAATGTTTTCTCTATAGTTAGCACGTTTACGTCATGTCCATGACATCACCCTAACCCTCTAGTAATACTTGTCGATTTATACTTAATCTGTATTATCTACAAACAGTGTTTCTTCCAGACTTTTTTCTCCGGGGGGGCACTTGAAATCTTCGGGGGGAGGGGCGATAAACTTTCTTCGGGGGGGGGGGGCGGACACTGTTAAAAGTATATATTTTCTATATAAATTATATAAATTTCATTTCGTTGGGGGGGGGGGGGGGCGGGTAAAAATTTTTTCGGGGGGGGGGGGGCTTTGCCCTCCCCTCCCCCCCCCCCCCCCCCCCCCCCCCCCCCCGCAGAGATGCCTGGAAGAAACTCTGTCTACAAATGCGACCAGTGTTTCGTTCAAGCGTTTTGCTCCACGGAGGAGTTACTTGAAATTTTCGGGGGTTGGGATGAACCACTGGGGGCGGCCACTGGTAAAAGTGTGTTTTCTATATAGGCACCTAAATTATATTTGGCTTAAGGGTACGGTAGACTTGCTTATGGGGAGGGGTGGCTATTTAGATAAAGTATTTATATATGCAAATGTGGACCATATCCATATTCAAAATAATTAATCATTCTACTTATATCAAGATGCATATTATGACTCTACAATAGGTTGAAATTTAAATGAAAGATGTATTTTTTTAATATGCTGATTTTAACTTTAAGATTCTTAACTTGTTAAAGAAATAATAATGTATTTTATATTGAACTATTTTGTCTTATTTCTACTAACTTTTAAGGCCTAAGTGGCATACTAATGCTAAATGATGATATCGATTCTTTTAAAAGCAAAACTATTTATGCAGCAGACGATCATTTTGCGTCTTTGCATTAGCTAACTCAGGCTAACTGGTACTTGGAGTACGTAGGCCTTGCATGAAACCTGTTAATTAATTAATTAAATAGATCTAGATCTAAAATGTAAAACGATTAGGAATCTACTACTTTAACTACACTTAATCTTAATTTCTAGATCTAGATAAAAGATTTCTAGAGTAGACTGTGAGTAGATCTTGTTGGTCAGCTAGATCTAGAGTCTAGATCTAGATCTATCTAGATCTAGAATCTAGATTCTAGATCTAGATAGATCTAGATCTAGACTCTAGATCTAGATTCTAGATCTGATCTAAATCTTGATTAGATCTAGATTATATATATCTAGATCTAGAATCTAGATTTCTATACTAGATTTATGTCTAGAATCTAGATCTAGTTATTATAGACCTAGACTAGTACTAGGAAATCTAGATCTAGATCTAGATTCTAGATCTACATAAAACTTGATAAAACATATCTAGATCTACTAAAAAGTAACAATCTAATCTAGATCTAGAGAAGATCTAGATTCTAGATCTAAAATCTAGACTAGATCTAGATCTAGAAAAATCTTAGATCTAGACTCTAGACTAATTTTAAAATTTATTAGATTCTAAGTATTAGTTAGTAAGTAATTTTGAACTTTATGAGTTATGATCTAGATCTAGAGAATCTAGAAATCTAGAATCTAGAATTCTAGATCTAACTCTAGATCAGTAGATCCAGCTAGATTAGATACTAGATCTAGATCTAGATAGATTATATCTATATTCTATAAGATCTAGAGATCTAGGTTTTATCTAGACTAGAAAAAAATCTAGATCTAGATTAGACCTTATATTCTTATAATTATATAGACTGTTAGGGCCTATACACTGTATAATCGTATATATTATTTATAGGCCTAGATCTATATAGATCTAATAGGGCATAGGGACCTAATATTCTTCTAGATCTAGATTGATAGATCACTCGCTCTCTAGATTTAAAATCTAGGCTTGACTCTAATTATCTAATATACTAATAGTTACTAGATTTTCTAGATCAAATTTCAAACACTGCGGTTTTGCATAAAACATCAAAATAAAGTAGCTAGATTTAGATTATCTATACTATAGAGTATAGATCTAGAATCTAATCTAGGCCGAAAACCAGAGAGTGACTGTGGTGTTGGGCATAGTGCAGATCGGCAAAGAACTCTAGATCTAGATCATAATCCAGACTCTACTAAGTAGATCTAGTCTAGTATTTAGAATCTACTAGATCTAGAAATCTAGTAACTAGTAGATTTAGAATTCAGTAAGTCTAGAATCTTAGAATCTAGATCTTGAATTCTTGAGTTTTCTAGACTAATCTAGCTAGACTAGATCTAGATTTCTAGCTCTTAAAAACTAGACTAGGTTCCCCATAGTCTGTATAGATCTAGATCTTTATTCAAATCCATGGCTAAACTAGTGAAGTGGTAACCATCCTAGGGTTCTAGAGTGACATAGGGTTAGAGTTGTTGGATGTTTAGAATAGTTTTAAAAAGTAATTTTCGTATGTTACAACACTCTAGCTCTAGTTTACTCCACGTTGTAAGTGTTCAAAACTTTAGAAACTTACATTTTTATTTATTTGTTAGACAAGAAGAAATAAGTGTTGCTGTTTACATTAATATTTTATTTTTATATAGACTGCTTAGTATATAAAAATTTGATACTATATGGCCTAAAGTTATTACCTATTTTGCTAATTTAACCATTTTTTTTATACTACAGCAGTATTGGCAGTGGGCAATTCCTACAGAAAGCCAAAAAGGAAACAGGAGCCACGCAATTCAGGTAAGAAAAAAGTTGATTTAAATTCATTTAAAAATGGTCAGGTAATTTGTTTTACAATTCTGAAATCATCTGTTATTGCTTATTAAGCTGTACAGTTAAAAAATGTGTGTATTGTTACAATAAATGTCATAAAAATTATAGCTCTATTTCACGACAGTAGCAGTAGGCACAGAGGGCCTTTTTTCACATTGGCTGTTTAAAAACATTTTTGCAACACATTATAAAGGGTGAATGAATATCAAAGATGTAGTAGAAAGTGAAAATTTAGAAATATATGTCTGTAAAATTTATATTATTCGCTATTATTAAATTAGCACTTTTGTAGCAATTTTTTTTTCTATAAGATGGAAATTAAACTTATACATTGTTTCAGTTGTGGCAAGCTTTGAAATTCAAAACAAGCAAATAATGATTGAAGAATCAGGTGTATTTCATCCAGGTAAGATATACTAAAACAGTTAATGCAATTATAATGTAAACAGTTTAATATATGTGCTAGTTTAATATCTAAATGACTGTAGTAAACTTGTTCCATTAAAATGCTGTTTATCATTAAATCTAAGATTTCTGTTGCTAGAGAAATAATTTGTTGTTTGTTCCTGTAGGAAATCATGAAGCTGAGATGTGCTATGGAGGAGAAGCTGATCTACACAAACATGTTGCTGGCTGTAAAAAGAATCCAGGTCACAAAGATTTTATACCGCTTAAAGATTTCAACGCAAGTTGTCTCCCCTCACGTTACCATGACGACGAGCTCATGTCTGAGACAATCAAAGCATTGGCAGCCGTAACTGTCCAGGTAAAGACTAAATTCACCAGTCTAGAGAGACCAGAGATTTTCCCAGGCACTCAAGTTCCATATCCATGTTATAAGGACAGAGGAAGTCACGTGATGAGGTTAGGGACGGGGAGGGTGTGTTGTGTGTACAAGTACACAGAGAGTGACGGAACTTGTCGTTGTGCCAAGTGTCAAGTCTCTGCCACACCCAGCAAAGTGTGGGGGCAGGTTTGTGTGATAACAGCCACACACGTGGTGTTTGATGACAGTGAGGCGAGACAGACCAGGTGTGTTTTAGGTTTTGATGACACTAAAAGTCCAGGGGTCAGTCTTGTTGGCTGGGAGGTGGAGGAGTATAGGGCAGACATTGAGGGAGACTTGTGTGAGTTGAGTTATGTGACATGTGACTTAGAGTTGGTTGATGAACTGGACAAGATGTGGCGGCGCTTTGATGATCTATGTAAGGAAGTAATGGACAAATACATGAGATTTGCTGATGTGGACAAGTTGACCGTAATAGTGTCACATCCCCATGGCTGTCCTAAACAGGTCTCTGTAGGACAATGGACACACAGACGTGAGAGGTTTGATGGTGATGGTGATGATGATGATGATGATATCTTATGGACCAGGTACTGGTACACAACATGTACATGTCCAGGCTCCAGTGGAGCGACTGTCTACAGGCCGGGATATGACGGTTCGTGGTATAACCATCCCCACAGTGGATCAAGCCCTGTAGGAAATTATAGTGGGGAGTTTGTGTACTGATGTAACTGTTAGTTCTCTCCCCTTGTCTACACAATGTAAACAAACAAAATGGCGGAACTTTTCCCTTCATTAAACTGTTTGTATTAAGACTCGTATGTCTTGTAAACATTTTATTACGTTTAAATGATTAAAATAAATGTGTTGATTGGTGTAAACCGTTTAACCGTTCTAATTCACATGTACATTAATGGGTTTTAGAGTTTTTTTGTTTCAAATGTTGTAAATAATTTGCTTATAATTTTTGTCGGCAAATTGTTGTCATATGCCTATAAGCTGGCTATTACCTGTAAATAAAATGTAACCTACCTTTCAAATGTCATATTTATACTGTTTGTTTACAAAATGTTCACACTAAACGACATTAAATGGTAAAAGAAAATATATTTTTACTGTTATTTTAATCTTTGTTGTCTGTCAATGTCTGTTGATGTCAAGTTGTTGTCAAACAGCTTATGTTGTGATTTCGATGTTCGCGCCAGGTTGTCATGGGTTGTAAGTTTAAACTTTACAACAAAGTCTATTTGTTTATGCCTAATGTACCAGTAAGGCTAATTTAAATGAGATAATTAGAAACAAAAACGGAATTCTAATAATTTTAAAATATTTCTACACATCACATGCCATAGTTAGATATTTCGAAGCTTCTAGACCTGCTCCAATGGAAAAATGAAAAAAGAAATAGTTTGATGCTGTCATTGACTGATATTTGTGTACACATTGTTGTCATTATAATTGACTAGAAATCCTTTAACAACACTTGAATGTTATAGGATAAAACAACTTTTGTAAAAGTTGATAGATGGCCATGATAGAACAACTAGTGTGACTTTAAAACACCCTAAAGACTAATTTAAATGAGATAATTAGAAAAATGAGGAATTTTAATCATTTAAAAATATTTGACACATCGTATGCTATATTTAGATACTTCGTCGCTTCTAGACCTGCTCCAATAGCAATGTGAAATAGTAGTTTGATGCTGTCATTGACTGACATTTGTATAAACACTGTTGTCATTGACTGACGTTTGTGTAAACAATGCTGTCATTGACTGACATTTGTGTAAACAATGCTGTCATTGACTGACATTTGTGTAAACAATGCTGTCATTGACTGACATTTGTGTAAACACTGCTGTCATAGACTAGAAATCCTTGAACAAACTGACTGTGATATTGTAAAACATCTTTTGCACAGGTTGATAGATCGGCAGTGAAAGAACAACTAGTGTAAATGTAAAACACGGAATATAAGTTTCTAAACATGAAAACTGTAAACCGTGGCATAAATAACGCAATTGGAGAAATGGGACGACATGATCGAGTAAAAGACCACGCGCATTTTATCCCCAATGACACGAGTCTGATCCCCATGTTAGATTACCTTTTTTGTTGCACTAATGTGATGTGTACCTGGACATGTTTGGAGAAAAATAATTTGTCTGGGTGTTCCGTGTAGGCTCAATGACGTAATAAGTCATGGGTATAACACCAATACATGAACTCTACTTTCTCTGCCGAATTGCCTGTATGCTATGCAAGTTAGTTAAAGTTGCTGGTCAATTTAAATATAATATGTAACACAATGTTAAACACAACTGTTACACCAATCCTACTAAGATTGAAATATCGTTACATTTTCAGGATAGCATGTACATTGTTAGGGATTATATCGGTTTCATGTTCTTCGCATATCAGAAGAAGACTCCCGAACATGGCACTAGAACGGACTCCACCAGGAAAAGAGAGGAAGACCACTGGGAACATGGAGGAGAGAGGAAGACCACTGGGAACATGTATGAGAGAGGAAGACCACTGGGAACATGTATGAGAGAGGAAGACCACTGGGAACATGTATGAGAGAGGAAGACCACTGGGAACATGTATGAGAGAGGAAGACCACTGGGAACATGTATGAGAGAGGAAGACCACTGGGAACATGTATGAGAGAGGAAGACCACTGGGAACATGTATGAGAGAGGAAGACCACTGGGAACATGTATGAGAGAGGAAGACCACTGGGAACATGTATGAGAGAGGAAGACCACTGGGAACATGTATGAGAGAGGAAGACCACTGGGAACATGTATGAGAGAGGAAGACCACTGGGAACATGTATGAGAGAGGAAGACCACTGGGAACATGTATGAGAGAGGAAGACCACTGGGAACATGGATGAGACAGATGGAAGAAGTTCTGGGTACTGACAAGACCTGGCATGAACTGAAGTGGCTTGCCCAATACAGAGTGGAATAGCGGAGATTTGTGGCTGCCCTATACTCCGCAGGAAGGGGCGAGGTTTAAGTAAGTAAATATATCGGTTTCATAAGTATACACTCTGTAAGATATTGTGATAAAAACAATAAAACAAGTGTCTATATATATAATTCTCTTCTGGGAAACGTTAGAAAACAAGCTGCAAGCTCGCACCTTGCAGTCCCCTCTCTTCCTCTCTATCGCTACCTTCCCCCCCCCCCCACCCCCCTCACATGGTCAGGAGAGTTGTAGTTCACGCTAAAATTAAATGTTTACAAAACAATCGTAGAGCAGGGTTTGGTGACGGCTATTAGGGGCAGATAATTCAGTTTAAAACTATTTTAAACTTAGAGGAGGTAACTAAGAGGAGGCTGCTTTCACGGTGGGGGGGATGGGGGGGGGGGGGGGAATGGGGGTTTAGTGTTTTAAAGCATAACTAAGGGGATGCTGCTTTCACGGGGGGGGGGGGGGGGGATGGGGTTTTAGTGTTTTAAAGCAAATATTTTCAGTGGCAGCATTGGTACTTTCGAATTCACAACTTATGAATTACTGAAAAGTAGAAAAAACAACTAAATAGCGGCGTATGATACACCGCGGGTCGGCTCGTATGAAATAAAAGTTCTTGGACCAAGTTAAGCGACAGTGCGATCTCAAAATTGAAATATACGTTTTTATGGTCTAGGGGAAGTAACAATGAAAATAATTGAATAAAAAGTATTTACATAGTTATATCCCTGTTTGTTAAATTTGACGTTTTACATTTTTGTTTTTCACAATAAAATATTCTTATTCACCCCCCAGCTTGCAAAATATAAATTTAAAGAAAATGCTATTAAAATATTTGAATGACAGTCCACATTCTGGGATAAAATTCAGTCACTTTTAGCTTCACGATCGGTTGTTTGCAGTTTTTTTTTCTTTTAAATCAATTTCCAATGTTTCAGCCTACATCAGTTCCTGCAATGTAAGCAGTTCCTTAGTTGTTAGTAGAATAATGTTTTTAATAGAGCGAATTAAATTGATAACAAGATAAGTACAACACATTGTTACCGCCACAGAGTAGTGTACATGGAACAGATGAAGTAGAGTTCCTCAAAAGCAACAGTTGTAGATTTGTTTTATTGAACGTTAACAGCAAAGCTGTCAAACATTTAAACCTTCTAGATGAAACAGCATTTCTAACTCGGGTTTAGAAACTGTTAAATAGTTTTATTTACACCACTCAATGTATGGTCAACACAGATGTCCGAGACAGTGGAACATGATGTCAGGTACGTGAATGTCGAGAGGCACATGGGGGGGGCTGTGTACGTGATTGAGCGACATATACAAGTCAGCATCTCCAGGAGTAGATAGAGCGCTCAACTGTCAGCCGAGTCATCATCTACCTATGTGGTGACTGTGAGCACCAAACATTACCCTTGCGGTGTGTCACCAGCAGTAGATTGGGCCATTATTGTGATGTGTCACCAGCAGTAGATTGGGCCACCCTTGTGTCACCAGCAGTAGATTGGGCCACCATTGTGTCACAAGCAGTAGTTGGGTCCATCATTGTGTCACCAGCAGTAGATTGGGCCATCCTTGCGGTGTGTCACCAGCAGTAGATTGGGCCATCCTTGTGGTGTGTCACCAGCAGTAGATTGGGCCACCCTCGCGCTGTGTCACCAGCAGTAGATTGGGCCATCCTTGCGGTGTGTCACCAGCAGTAGATTGGGCCATCATTGCGGTGTGTCACCATCAGTAGATTGGGCCACCCTTGCGGTGTGTCACCAGCAGTAGATTGGGCAACCCTTGCGGTGTGTCACCAACAGTAGATTGGGCCACCCTTGCGTTGTTTCACCAGCAGTAGATTGGCTGTCATGGGTTGTAAGTTTAAACTTTACAACAAAGTTACATTGTTTATGACTATTACACCTGTAAAACTAATATAAATAAGAACATTTGAAAAAAGTGGAACATCAGGTAGTGTAGTTTATATTTCGACGATTCTAGACCTGCTCCAATTGAAATGTAAAATGATATCTTGTTGATGTGATAGACGAACAGTTGTGTAAGCATTGTTGTCATTCTAATTTACTAGATAGCATTGAACAATCTGATGGTGATTTTGTGAATAACTTAAATAAAAGTTTATGTACCCACATTTGTATAGGCTACTTTACGTGAATTATAGGCCTATATATTTTAAAATGTACTTGTTTGAGAAAAATAATTTATGAAATAGTTATTGGTCAAAACGCAATGTGCTTTACTACACGCTGAACGATATTAGTGACAAACAAAACTAATAACCAATTAGCTAAAAATCAGACACATTTAACATAACACAGGCACACACTAATTAACTGATTTAAATGATTCTGTTAAAAATCTTGATATTTAATAGTCATTGAGTTGTTTTTAAGTAATTAGTTTTAGCTTGACCGATAAAATATTATATATATATTTCATAGCGTACGTCTTGATGAGTAGATCTATAGATATAGATTAAATTTGAATGAAGTAGTTCCTTTCTTTTTAGTCTAAAGATTCACATATAAAAAAATTAAAAAATTAAGTTTGACTTGGTTTGTCTCGATCGCGCACCACCTGCGTGGTAACTAGTATACTATCTTCTCAGCTATTTATGCACCTTAAAAATCACGGAGAATGAAAGACGTATCTAAAAAAACTAACTTACGTGAATATGCCTATTCTTTCAAATTAATTTCAAGAATTTCCAAGCTTTTATACTTCAGTAATTAT